AGTCCGGGCGGGGCGCCCGGTTTCTCCGGGCCCGGCCTGCACCCGCGCCGGCGGGGACCCCACGGGTACCGCCTTGAACTCGAGTCACCTTGTGGGGCCGCTGTCACCGCAGCCACAGAGCTCTTGGGCGTGCCGGGTGGGCAGGCCTTACCCACGGAGTGAAATACGCCTCAACCGAAATGTCGGCACGCCGCCCCCTCCGCCCGCCCGGCACCGCACGGAGCGCGCAGCTGCATTTTCAGATGCGTGTGGTGAACCGAGGCTGGAAATCAATCTGTGCCTCTGCCACCGAAAGAGGGTGTGTTTGCAAAGACTGCTCTCGCTTCCTTCCCCTGCCCTTGCACTTTTCTTGCGGGAGAGCTGTCAAGTGGGCTGGAGGGTCATTCACTCTTACATAAGAATTTAATAGCCATGGATTCCGTCGTCCTGCCATAGGCCCACCTCGCTGCCAGGGCGGAACCGGGGGATCTGATTTCTTCTGTGCGGTTCAACAAGTGCTTCTTGGGCGCTTACTGGGAGCCGGGCATGTTGAAGAGTACCCAAGTCTAAAATCCCGAGTTTAGATCTGGGGAAATCTTTCCAATTTGCTTAAGTGTAGAAATTCAATCATTCACAAGGTCACTGGAAGTTGTATTGGGGGCCAACCGTGTGCAAAGTGCTGTGGAGGACACACAAAAATATGAATAAAGTCATGCATCCTGTGCTACAGACACACACTCTGTGGCGGGAAAAACAGCCCCGAGTCAGGTATGACTAGACTGCTGGCAGGTGCTATGAGGTTTAATTCTGTCTCCAACAGGTGCCAAGTATGGGCTTGACACCATCACCTTCTCTGTCATATCATGAAAGCCTTGACTACCTAAGAAATTTCAACTTTATTCCAAAGGCAATGAGAACTGAATGAAGGCTTTGGTCTTGGAGCCCAGGACTGCCTCTTTGGGGTGTTTTTTTTTTGTTTGGTTGGTTTGGTTTGTTTTTGCCTTCACAGCACACTTGCCCTCGGCAGTGAAAGTGGGGAGTCCTAACCACTGGACCGCCAGGGAATTCCCAGGCCTGACTCTTAAAAGAATATCATCTAGATAAGAGGTGATGATGGCTAGAGCAAAGCCAATGGTAGTGCAGATGGAACGCTAAGAGCAGAGGCAGGACTTACTGTTGAGATAAGAGTGAAAGACTTAGCAACCACTGGGATGTGAGAATTGAGGGTTGCAGCTGACTGGAGAGGGTCTGGGAAGATGATGACCCATAACACACCATACACAGATAAGAATAAGTCTTAAGGTGAGAGGGCCACGATTAATTGGGTGTTGCCAGTTAAATAGTTTCCACTGTTTTTTGTTTTTTGTTTTTTGTTTCCTTTTGGGTTCGCGGGCCTCTCACTGTTGTGGCCTCTCCCGTTGCGGAGCACAGGCTCCGGACGCGCAGGCTCAGCGGCCATGGCTCACGGGCCCAGCCACTCCGCGGGCATGTGGGATCCTCCCAGACCGGGGCACGAACCCGTGTCCCCTGCATCAGCAGGCGGACTCTCAACCACTGCGCCACCAGGGAAGCCCTCCACTGTTTTTTGTTTTGTTTGTTTTTTGGTTTCGCTGGGTCTTAGTTGTGGCATGTGGACTCCTTAGCCGTGGCGTGCAAACTCTTAGTTGCAGCGTGCACGTGAGATCTAGTTCACTGACCCGGGATTGAGCCCCAGCCCCCTGCATTGGGAGTAAGGAGTCTTAAGTCCTGTGCCAACAGGGAAGTCCCCTACTTTTTTTCTTTTTTTGCCGAGTGGTCCTTCTGCTTTTCACCTTTCCCAACCCTCTCCAACTTTAAAGACCCAGATTAGTCCTCACCTCTTCTAAGAACTGTTTCCTCTTCAAAACAGTTTTAGCCTTAACTCACTTGAAATTCCATCTTTTTAGGCTGGGAATGTGCCTTTTGGGGTCTTCTGGACCCTTCTACAACCTCCCCCAAAGTGGTCATCCCTCTGCTTGTATGTTTGCTGGCAGAGTGCTCACTAGTGGATGGCTCTAAAATTCCACAGTTAGAGAAGGGCTCTGTGAAGAATCAAATTTGCCTCCCTGTAAATTCCAACTGTTGATTTTAGTGCTGCCACCTAGAGCTTCCCCACTCCAAGTCAACCTCCTCTTCTACGTGACAGCCCTTCAGATACGTGCAAATGGCTCTCACATTCTTGTGAAGACCTCTGCTCAGAAGAAGAATATGCTGTTCTGGTTATATAACACATCATCCCCCCCCGCCCCCCAAATCAGCAGCTTAAAACAATTTGGGAAGGGCTCATCTGGTTCAGTCATGAGATTGCAGTCAGATGGGAGCTGGAATTGGCGGGGGTCGGGGGGGGGCAGTGCACGGGGACTTGGAACAGCTGGAGCAGGACAGGTGTTTCTCTAGGTACTATATGGTCTTTCTGCATGAAGGGGCTTGAGCTTCCTCGCAGCATGGTGGTTAGGTTCTAAGCATGAGCTTTTTTTTTTTTTTTGCGGTACGTGGGCGTTTCACCGTCATGGCCTCTCCCGTTGCGGAGCACAGGCTCCGGACGCGCAGGCTCAGCGGCCGTGGCTCACGGGCCCAGCCGCTCCGCGGCATGTGGGATCTTCCCGGACCGGGGCACGAACCCGCGTCCCCTGCATCGGCAGGCGGACTCTCAACCACTGCGCCACCAGGGGAGCCCTAAGGATGAGCATTTTAAGAGCACCAATGTAAGCTCTTTCAGCTTTTATGACCTTTTACCTTAGAAATTCTGTAGTTCCGGTTCTGTAGTCTTACTAGCCCTCTCCAATCCCAGGAGAGAACTATGGTCCCCTTATCTCAGTGGGGGAAATGTCACAGTTAATCTTGTAAGATCATGTGAGGTGGGAGATATCTGTTGCAGCGCTTTTTGGAAAATACACTTTGCCACATAATGCATTCTCTTAACTGTCCTGGGTATCCTCCTATAAAAGTATATTATGATAAAGTAAGGCTTAGGAATTAGATGGGCTGTATTTGAATCTTGTCTCATGCGTAGCCTGGAACAAGGTTTGAACTCCCCACTGCCCCCCACCCCCCATCTTCAGCTGGTTCATGAGTAAATGGGGAATCTGAACTTCTGCCCCACAGGATGTAGTAGACACCTTTCTGAGTAAATGCCTAGCATACCATGTTCCACTTTTTCTGAGAACTGCTGTTCCCTCTCCCCCGACACCCCACCCCTTGGCTTCTGGGCCTCAGCTACCATGTTTGTACTACATAGCCCCACATTCCTGATACAGTTCATTGGACCCCAAGGGCTATTCCTGCCACAAGCTGGATCTATCAGATTCTTCCCCCTGGAAATCTGGGCTTGGGATTCATAGGGTTGTGACTGAGGGTGCGACCCTTGGAATCAAACCATCTGGTTTGAATCCTGAACCTTCCTTTTCTGAGCAAGAAAATCTGTATTAACTATTCTGGACATCAGTTTCCTTATTTGTGAAATAGGATGGTGGTGATTGATGATGGAAAAAGTCCCTACTTCATAGGGTTGCTATGAGGATAAAATGAGTTAATACCGGTGAAACTCTCATCACAGCATTGTAAGTGGAAGCTGGCACCCCCTGAAGTCAACCTGAGGGCTGTGGAGAGGCTGTATTCTTCATGCTCACAGGGAGGCCTGGAACACTGCTCTGAAAAAGAATTAAGAAGCCATTGTGGAGGATACTTAGGGAAGTGAGAACTGTTTGGGTTTGGGTTTTCAGGTTTTTGAAAACCTTCCAGGTTCTGCTTCTAGTCTCTACCAAGGCTGAGCTCCATTCCCGCTCCTAGATTCCACAATGAGAATAGAATTAACCTGGGAAAAGTGCCAGTGGGACTGAAAAGGCAAGAAGATGCTCATAGAGCAGTAGCAGTGGTATTTTGTCAGCTTGGAGAATGTCGATAAATGATGTGCCCTTCATCCATGAGTCCCTTTAGAAGGCGAATATGTAGTTGGACATAGATTATAAACACGATGAAGAATGAAAGGCAGCACAGTGCAGGGAGTGAAAAGCATGCACTCTGGGGTCATGCAACCCGGGTTCAAATTCCAGCACTGCCACGTGCAAGTGGCAATCCCTCAAAAGTACAAATTACCCACTCAAGTCCACAAAGGGAACCTGTTGTCCTGCCACCGTTGGCTCTTCAGGCTGATTTGCTATGAAGGGATGGGGGGCGGAATCCCCAGGGCCCTTCTATGGAAAGAAGGTCCCAAAGG